TTGCAGCCCCGTCCTTGAACTAATTGCGTCCATTTTTTTGTTGGGAAAAACAACCAAGTCTAACCTAAACTAAAAAACTGAGATAGTTCAACAAAATCAATTCCACATATCTCATTTAAAAACTTCCCATCAACAATTTGACTGGACTGGGTCGAACTGCAGGCTGTGTTTACACAGAGCACATAGAAGACAAGTCTGGGAAAAAAATGTAAGTCATAACTTATCTATATGATGTGGAATCACCATTTCTTTCCAGTATGACCAACACCTCTGGGCCCTTCTGTACACGTTGATCCCAGTTTTTTGATTTCTGGCATCATAACTTTGTTATATGACCCAGAAGACATTATTGAGTTTCCTCTACTTCTAGCCATGGTAGTACTGTTTCCATAGAGGTGCAGGACTTTATATTGCAGTGAAAAATGAGCCCACAGTGAAGAAAAAGTTTAGATGGTAAAGTTACTCAAGCAGTTTGAAATTGTGCATTAGTTGGGGACTATTTACAGCAGCAGATTAATCCACGTTTGATGCTCTAGTAAGCACTTCTGACTGAGGCTGAATCAATTTCAATGTGTGTGTTCATCGTAACAAAGAAATGAGTCACTCAGGGCTACACTGTGGCTCACTCATGTGTTTTTAGTAGATTATGGACAACGTTGGACCTCTATGGCACAGACGAAAAAGCTATGTGAAGCTTTGGATCCATATTTATTACTGAGGTCAATCCATTGCTGCTTTTGCTCTTTTCAAGGCTATAAGAAATCCCTAAAACCAGACATCCTGCTGCTTATCTTGTTCACTCACTGTTCTCCTGCAGCTTGGCAAAGCAGTGATCACACACACGAGCTGGTTGGTTCTTCAAGTACTCCAGGTAGTACTTATTGGCAGAGCAGGCCTGACACACCACCTGTCAGATACATGGAACGTCAGTGAGACAAGGGGTATTTAAGTACTGTAGTGCAGAAAAAGGGGTAGTCGCAGTGGGACAGACCTTTCCACAGGCGCGACAGTGATGCCTCCTCCAGGTGAGGGTGAACTCGCAGGTACAGATCATGCACATGGTGGCCCTCAGGTCTGGGATCCAGATGGGAGCCTTTGAGCCTAACGGCGCCCCGCTGTCGACAACACCCTCTGCCTGAGAGGCGAGAGACTGAGGGTTAGCACAGCAGCATTCAGGGTGAAGTTATTCTCAAAGCACTAAATAGACAGATTTATAGCTTTACCTCTTCTTGACTTCGGCTTGAAATGAAGGTTATTTTCTTCTTCGTGTAGTCGTCTATGGCCTTGGCGATGGCCTCCAGCCACTCGTCTCTCTCTGTTGCTGAGCTGCAAGCACAGAGTACATCGTTTCTCAGCTGCAGCAAACACAACCACTCCGATTTATTAATGTTTGCAGCTCATAATGTGCAAAATCTGAGGCTGCAGTCGATTGCTAAGACTGAGGGCTGACCTGGCAGACAGGATGAAGGAGCGCTCAACGCTCTCAATGTTCAGCTCGTTCTGATAGGCCTCCTGGCTGGGCTTACTCACCTGGAAAACACAGCACAAGCACATAAATTACATCATCACCAGAGACCGAGCACTTCAGGAAGTGTGTGAGCCGTGTTGACTCTGTTGCTGTGAGAAGCATCAATAATTCACTGCGGTCAATACTTCAGTGAAGTCAAATCTGGGAATCAAAAGCATTAAACACAAAACAACAAGCACATAAGCTCAAGGCAGTATTAAAAAAAATAAATAAATAAACTAAATCAGATATAAAAAATAAATGAAAAAATAATATAAAGACACTGAGTATGCAGCACAAACTCAAAGGTTTAAAGATGCTCCTCTGGTGAAAATCAAGGCTGTTGGTTTTTTTTCTCTTGTTAGCTTTTACAGTTTTGCACAAAAGTTTACATGAACTTGTAAAGAACTCTGATATCCAGTTTCCAGTGACTCCTAGAACTCTTCAAATATGGACTCATTGAAACTCAAGCCTCTATGCCTCAAAAACTATGATGCATTTTGGTTCTTTTATTGATTTATTGCAGGTTATCTGGAAAAATAGCAAAATCTGCTGAGTCAAAAATATACATACAGCAATACTAATATCTGGTTACATAACAGTTTGTTGTTTCTTTTTTTTGCGTGTTTAAATCATTGATCAGAGAGGGACTTTAAAAATAATGAATTCAAACCACAACAGTGAGCTATAAATGCAGTGTTGCCTCCCACCTTCATCCCAGCCAGAGAGAGAACACTGTTGAGTTTATACTGTGCAGACTGGACCGGAGTGGTGTACATGAGTGCATCATTAAACTGCAGAAACAAACACATAGAGAAACAAAATCATCAGACAAAATAAAGCCACACTTAAAGAGAATTGATGTAAACAATATATCTGTGACTGTAGATAAAATTCACACAGGAAGCACTGATTTTACAGACTGGTGCACACGTCCTCCTAATGCTCACCAGAAAAAACATCCGAGGCTGCATGACTTTCCTGGACAGTTTCATCAGGGTGCCCTCCTTCAGAAACACCTGCAAATATGGACACAGCTGCTTTTAAAAACACATCGTCTGCAGATTCCAGAGGCTGAACAGTAACTATTTTCTGACCCTCTAATGAGTCTCACATTTGCTGTGTCACGTGGGTGAGACGAGCAGTCACACTGGTGTCACACAGTCATTAATTTCTTTCTGTAGTGTGTTCGGCCTCAGTGAGCATTTTTAATTATCAAGTTACACACACACAAATAAAAAGATATGGGGTGGAAGCGTTTGGAATATCAACAGTGTCAGAGCTTTTCAATGTAGAATATAATTAAACATAATTATATAGAGGTGGTTTGATACATTTGTTAAACCACAGAGAAAGCAAATCAAAGTGTATTAACCTAAATAACACAGCAGAGAATATCAATTAATTTAAGAACCTATAACATCGTTATTAAATTTGTATGTATTTCATAAGATGATAACGTGGCTGGCTGTGTGTGTTTCTGCATTAAACATTAAAACCTAAATGTTATATTTCTGTCTGTTTGACTTGGCAGCTATATGAGAGAATTTCCACATGTTTGAAGACACAACTGAGTCATGCACTTTGGTTCAAGTTAGGATTTCCCACGTTAAAGGTGGAAACACTTTTGTGACGTACCCTGCCCGGCTGCACGATCTCGTGGTGACCATTGAGACTGTACTGGATCTGCATCAGCTTCTGAAAGTTGTCCTGAAAAAACACAACATCAGGCAGGTGAGAGGAGACACGCGGCTGAAGCCGACCGTCGCTGCTGAACGTTTAAATGGAATCAGGCCTCACCCCTTGTTTCATAATGTCGTTAGCGTGGTTGGCCACTTCCTTCACTATGCTCAGAGCAGCTGTGATGACAGAAATGATAACACATCAGGTTTTTATAGACTTTCAGCACAAAGCAGACACTAATGATGAGTAATGCTCTTTATCTCACCTTGTGTGTCTTTATAATCCTCAGAGTCTTCTGGGAGGTTCTTCAGATAATCTGGAAAAGAGCAGAAAGGTTTCAATTAAATTTGAGCAGGAAAGGTGGACAGTGTGAACATTTAACATCTGCTGGGAGCAGCCTTGTCCACACTAATATGGACATTCTATTTATTCACTAGCTAATGGCGTATAGGTCACTGAACAAAGGCAGATGTTTTTTTTTTTTAGGAGCTTTGGTTTTCTGTGTATCAGTGTGGACATTGTGAAGATGGAAGATGATGATACACCTGAATTTGTGTATGCCCGTTGTGGATTGTGATGAGCGTGTGCCAAACAAACAACAACAAGAGATATACATATAAGGTATATAGACCAGTTTGGTTTGCACTAGGAATTAAAAAGTTTGCAACTTAAGCAGCATTCACCAGCTTGCAAAAGCCTCCATGTCTGATCCACAGAACTGACAAAGTGACAGAAAGTTCTTCTCTCACATTTGAAGCATCACTGATATAAGTTGGTCTGGTGTGCTTACTGCTGGATTTGTAATTGTGTTTGAATTCTCATGTATACAGAGTTTGTTTTTGTAAAACGATGGCTGTGTAAACAGATGTTTTTTTTAAAGACTATTTTTCTGGTATTTATGCCTTTACTAGATAGGACAGTGTGACAGTGAGACAGGAAAGGGGGGAGGACCTGCAGTAAAGCGTCGCGAGCAGGAGTTGAACTCACAACCGCTGCATCGGGGAACTACAGCCCTGTTCATGGGTCGCCCGCTCAGCCAGGTGAGCCATAGGGGCGCCCAACAGAACGGAGTAGAGAATATTAAGCGAAACAATATCTAAATTAGTGCAGATGAGGTCTGAAAACAGCAATACAGGAAAGAGAAAGGTCGTCAAAGCACAAAAATTTGACCTGAGGAGCTTTAATTAACGTAACATACAAAAAATAAAAAATAAAGATCAGAAATTCAACAGCTTGCCCAGAGATTGTTATTATTATTACTACTGTACATGGCATAATATACAGCCAAAAAAAAAGGTAAATGGGATTGAAAGCTGCAAGGACACTGAGCCAAACCGCCTGCCACATCCCTTATCTCATAAAGTAAATGTTTCCATTTTGCAATATTCAAATCATTTCCCAATGCTAACGGAAAGGTTCGTCTCCCATCTCTTGAATATCTTTAATCAAGTCAACTGTAGCTGGTTCCTCCTGTAACCATCTACATGTGGTTGCTTTGGTTTTTTTTTTCATTGGCTGCTCTGAATATTTTCAGAAGGTATCTTTGTCTGTGTAAACTCTTAGTCATTCAGGTCATGGTGATCCAAACAGCCTCAGGAGCAGACAACTGGACTCTGAATAACTGAACAAGTCTCATAGATGAGAGGTGAAACATCCTCAAGAATGAAGAAGTGAAATCACTTTGCTATGTAGAGAGAAGATAAATCAAGTCTTAAAGAGAGGACTGCAGCCCATTGGGGACATGTACTACACCTTTTTGAACCATATTTGCTTATTTATAATGTGTACATTGTGCAAAACATGCATGAAAAGAAAGAATCAACATTTGTTCTTAGTATGAGAGGAGACACATTACAAAATGCCACTTTTTCACCTTTTAATGATACAACAATAGTTTTGTGTTCAGTGCAGGCAGCTTCTTTTTGTCCTTGAAACACGATGAATAACAAAAATCTGTTCAGCAGAATGTGTCCCTCTAACACGAGGGCTCACCAGGTTTCTGTCACTGTGACTGTCCACTGGATGGCAGTGTGCAACCAACGCAGTAAAACCTGACTTCAGTCCAAGTTTCATCCTCGTGCTGCCAATAAAAGCGTAATTCAATAAAGCCTTGACCTGCAGCGTGCCGAGAACAGAGCAGAACGAGGAGTGAATGTGTGTTTGTACCTGTGAGCAGCAGCTGGTACTGAGGGATTCTCTGCACTGGTTTCAGCAGGTAGTGTTTCAGAGCCAGGCTGGCACATCTCGGACTCATCTGAGACAAAACAAACAAAGAGCTGTTTTCACACACACACATCAGAGACACAGACATGCCCAATCAACTGTCTGAGATATGAGCAGCATCTGTTAATGGCTGGAGAGAGCAGATCTACAGAGAGTTTAAATGTCTAAGTGCTATGAAGGTGCAAAAGCTTTGTGTACATAATAAAACAAAGATAATCTCCTCCAAAGTCCAGGTTGGAAATGGTGCTGATGTGACTGATCTCAGGAAATGACAAAAAAATCTAATTAACCCAAAGCCCAAGTAGTTTCTGTTTCTTTCTGCTCCTGTCACATTACTGTGGATTCAGTTTTCACTTTAACATAAAGACCTGCACCTCTGTGGAAACAGCACAACCATAGCTAGAAGTAGAGACGAGTAAAATATGTCTTCTGTGCAGAATGAAAGTTAAATTGGCATAAATCGTTTAAAAAAAAAAAAAAAAAAAAGACGATTTTTCAGATTTTTTGTTTTACCAAAATTGAATAAAACTGGAATCAACATGTACAACAGATTTACAGCCAGCGTTACCAATACCAGAAAAAATGTGTGACTCTATAGACGATAAACATTTTACTACTTATATTTTTAAAATCTTCCAATACTTGTCTCCTGCTTCCTCCTCTCTGAAAAGTCCCTACATTTTTGCTACATGACTGTTGGTCGTAGCTGAGTCACTAATGGCTTACCAGTTGCATTGAATTTAGAAGAATTTTTTGTTTGTGCAAATTACTTTAATTCTGTGTTTTTTAATGACTCGTGTAGAATAAAGTGATGAAATATTACAATTTTAAGCTTAGATTTGGTTATGTCTCCAATGGAATGCTATGTGACAGATAGGTGGTTCAAAGACTGCCTAAAAATTGAACATTTATTTCTGTTTTTACAGAATCCAGATAAATGGTGTACATTTTGTGATTTGCTTTAAAGATAGAAATGTCTTTCAAACCTGCCAGCAGATTTGGGGGTTCAGAGGTTTACAGCTGATTGCTGTTTACACATGTAAAAACGAATGAAGAAGAAATATTCAAAATAAAGTCCTTCAGGAAACGACAGGTCATTCAACAGCAATAAAAAAATAATTTAACTGCAAGAAAACACAAAAAAGCTCGTTAAAAGAAGTTGAAAGAAAAGTAGAACTTAGTTTCCAACTGTACCTCGAACTCTCGGACAACAGCAGCAAACGCGGGGTTCTTCCTGCACTGCTCGTCTAACAGAGCCACGTTGTTGTCGAACTGGCGGATGTAGGTGGAGTACATCTTCAGGTACGGACCCTTCTGGACAAATATGTCTGACAGTCTCTGGTGGTCGCTCCTGTAAGCAGACGGACATAAACAGGTTCCTTCAGTCAGTGAACCAGCTGAGCAGAACATCACTGTGAGATAAACAGGCTCAGCTGTCTATTTCCATCCATCCATTATCTATACACCACTTAATCCTCACTAGGGTCGTGGGGGGCTGGAGTCTATCCCAGCTGACTCAGGGTGAAGGCAGGGGACACCCTGGACAGGTCACCAGTCTATCACAGGGCTACACTTAGAGACAGACAAACAAGCACACTCACATTCACACCTACAGACAATTTAGAATCACCAATTAACCTCAACATGTTTTTGGACTGTGTGGGAGGAAGCTGGAGAACCTGGAGAGAACCCACGCTGCACGGGGAGAACATGTAAACTCCACACAGAAACATCCTGGGTGTCCTCCCAGCTGTCTATTAGCAGAGCAGAATTTTTTTCACTTTTACATGAACTATCATTTAACCTTCTGTTTTCTAATGTGAAACAGGAAGAAACTAAAGTGGCACTACACTGGTTTTTGTGTGGGATGTCCTCTGAGGCCTCTCTAAACTTTCTAAAATTACCCTGATGGTGTGTTATATTTGGGTTTGAGTCTTCTAATTTGGAAAAGAAAGCCTTCATTACTAATAGGAGCCTTTAGGTTTTAAAGCAGTGACAGTCTAATGACAGACACGACTACCTGCTTTAAGCGACTGCCCTCAGGACATTGTTCCAAGGCACCAATTTGGGGAACTAAAAATCTTCATGTGTCTTTTATCGCTATTGATATGCTTAACGGAAATTAGCACTCTGACTGTGTCTTTGCTCTATTTTGGTACAACTGTATCAGGTTTTTGTTATTTACTGCAATTTCTGCCCTTTTGATTCTTTTAACTGCAGAACTCGTTTCCCTTAATGGGACAATAAAGATAACCTTGAACCTTGGACATGCTGGTTGGGAAAGAATTCTGCTCTTTTCTTTTTCATGACCGCTTTTATTTAATGGTACTGCTGTTGCGTGGCAACCAGCACAACACCAACAACAACAGACATCCCCGCAGAGATCAAGGACAAACAGTGAGGAGGAGGGAAAAGAGATGAGTCCAGACAACAGGGACTGATGGAAGACAGCAGGTAGAAGTCGTATCTGCCTTTTATAATCACAACGGAGATCTCTGGACAGTCAGATGGAAGCGATAACGATGAGGAGAGAAGAAGAGTTTGCTGCAACGAAAGGTGCCACCTTGCTCACGTGACAGTGAAGGAACGTTTCTGCAGCCCACATACTTAACCGTTAGTCATGAGGGTTACATCCACACTACATACCCAGGGAGTTTTCACATGTCTTCTTTGTTGTTGTTTACATCCTTCCCTTCGCAAGCACATACATTTTTTTTTCTCTTGCAATATTTGCACTGTGTTTCTGTTTCTTTCCTACAATTTGCACTGGGTGTTCCCAGTTATTCCTGCACTGACTGTACAATTTTTTTGGAGCTGTTGTAACGGTGAACTTTCCCCACTGTGGGATCAATAAAGTTTATCTTTATCTTTAAAATGTAGGATCCAGTGTTGCTGGAGCTACATATAAACTCAGGATTAGTCAAGATTTCTCAGCCTCTGATGTAATAATTTCAACAATTATTTTTATATTCTGTCCCCAAACTTTATAGAAGAACAACATTAAGTCGCTGGATTACATCTTTAACAAATACTTAAGAGAATTCATTTAATCTCTTATTTTGAAAGTTCCGGCAATCATTGCTGTCGGCTGTGACATTATTTTACCTATTCATTTACTTTCTTAATTTCAAAACATAAGGTTAAGCAGGAGTGTTTTTGATTGATTTTCTAAACCACTGATGTGCTAGTGAAAGTTGAAGTTTTTTTAGTTTTTTTTTAAAGCTTTTTTTTTGATAGAACAGTGGAGAAGGGGGACAGGAAAGTCGGGGAGAAGAATGGGGGAAGGACCTAAAGTGTCACGAGCCGGATTCGAACTCACTATCACTACATTGAGGACTTTTAGCCCCTGTACATGGGACGCCAGCTCAACCAAGTGAGCTATCACAGCGCCCCAAGTTGAAGCTTTTTCATTGAGCTGTGAAACTTTGTAGACTTTATTGTATTTTATTTTTTAAGCAAACTCAAGACCTACCTCTTTAGTCAGGCTTGTGATATATTTATTAGATTTTATTTATTTATCAGTTTTTATCTATTTCTTTATTGTTTGTATTGTTTTATTGTATTTTTAGTTTCTGTAAAGCATTTTGTGTTGCATTTCTGTTTGTATGAAAGGTGCTATAGAAAACAAGTCTGATTGGTTGATTGATGGATTGATGGATTGATGGATTGATTGATTGATTGATTGATTGATTGATTGATTGATTGATTGATTGATTGATTGATTGATTGATTGACTGATTGATTGACTGATTGATACTAAAATTTTAATTATAGGAGGTGAATATTGAACCAGGATACAGACGCGCAAAAATTAAACATCTGCCTTTTTCTGTTGTTCTGTTTCTTCTTCCTTGTTCTGTTTTTCTGTTGCGTTCACTGGCAGGGACAGCAGAGGAAAACAGGACATATGGGGAAGAGAGACTCAGGGAGTGACATGCAGCAAACGATCAGGCCAGCTGGGATTTGAACCAAGGACACGCTGGTTGCATCTAAAATCTGACTTTTACCAGGTGAAACCTGAACCATATAAGAGGCTTCAACTGGTGCAGAATGCAGCGACAGACTGAGAGCAGGAAAAGAGAGCACATTCTCTCACTTCAACACACTGGCTGCAGATTGGTTTTAGGATTGATTTTAAAATGTTATTCTTTCCTTTACAGTGTCTACATTTATGATTACAGGGAAACAGGATTTTAATAGAACAGTCAAAAAAATGAGGGCCTATGTCTTTTCCTACACACTTTCTTAACCTCGATGGAAAGCGTGACGGTTGTGAAGGAGAATTTACAAGGACATAGGAAAAGAGAGTTTCGACTGCACAAGGCTAATGGTGTAGCGGGGCATGTTGTTGACGTGGATGGTGTGTCACTTTGAATGCTGCTGCTGCAAGAAATTATGAAACAGTGTCATCTCCTTTCATGTTGTGAAGGATGGACCAGTGTGTCTTTTGCTAAAAGAGAGAAGAGAAGAAGCAGTGCAGCACCTCAGGCATTTACAGAATTCAGCCAGCTCTTATTATGCCTGGTGTCATTTCACTCAGGTAGGAGTCTTCCTGAGAATAAAAGAAAGACTGTTCAATCTGTCAGGGAACCGAAGGTCTGAAGCTGCCTGCCTAAAGAGCTCAGACTCATCAGATCACATCTTATAACTTGTTTTTATCGCTTCACCCACAAATCTTCTTTGTTTTTAGGTTTTTTTCCCCTTTTGTGTGTGTCTGTGTGTGTGTGTGTGTACCAGTGTGCCACTCTCTCCTCCAGCTCTCTCTGCAGGTCTCTGTTGAGCTGGTACAGCTGAGGCAGGTAGTACAGGATCTGACTGAGGATCCGCTCATCCACCACCGGCTTCCCATTCTGACGGGTTGCCTTGGCAACAGCATCCCGGAAGTCCTGAAGAGACACACGGGGGGTTAATGGTGACGCTGCCTCATATGAAAACACAGCAGTAGAGGGTGGGGTGGCACAGGAGCCACGTGCTGTGCTGCAGCTGAACAGGAACACCTGGTTATCACCTCATTAACTGCCCCCTCCTCCTCCCCCCTCCCCCACACCTCAGCACATATTTCATGATGCAGACACCGCTGAGTCAGGACTTCGACCTTGTCCAGCGCGCCAACACACACATCCACCTGGAAGGAAGCGGGGAGGCCACGCAGGATCCCGACGTCCTGGTTAACTTCTGTTTTTCATTCTCTCTCGTACGTACGTCCACGGCTCGAACGTACCGTAACAGGAGATGAGTTCATCTGGCAGTAAAATCACTACTGCAACAATTAATTAATAAGTTATCAGCTATTAAATGAATAACCACATTAATATAATAATCTTTTTATTAGTCTGAGCCATTTTGAAAATTGCATAAATCTTCTGATTCCAGCTTCTTTAATGTAAATATTTTCTGGTTTCTTTGCGTCTATACAACAGTAAACTGAATATCTTTGTTGTTGTGGACAACCAAGACTTTTGAGTTTGTCATCCTGGATTTTGTGAAACAGTGACTGACAATTATTACATTTATAAACCCAACAAGTAATCGATTAATCGAGAAAACAATCGACAGATCAGAGCAATAAAAATACTAATTAGTTGCAGCCCTAGTTTAAATCCTAACGATCAAAACATCCATTTTATAGATTTCATTTGAACTGATTTGATTTTTTTCCACAACTGTTGATCTTTTTATATCCTTTAAGAATACATTTTCATGATGTTTAGCTTGTTTGTTATTTTAAATAAAGCTTTGCAAATGACATCTATAACTGTATTAGGTAGTATATTTAAAAATGTGATGCATGATTAGAGGATGATTAATTACATTACTTTAAAAAGTAATCACCTCATTGACCAAAGTACAGATACAATGAACAGCAAAAAAACACAAAAAGAACAAGAGAAAACTGAAATGTAAGTAAGATTGTACCACACAAGTTTAGGAATTTTAAATATAACTTAATGCCATAATAATCAAGTCCTATTATCACTCTTATTAAATATCTACATATGTTTTTCTTGTACATTTACTCCAGAACACAAAATGTTCAGGCTTCTACAGTCCAACAGGTGAACCCACAAACCACTGTCTTCTAATTCACACAACACACACGAAAGGCTACAAAAAAACTAAAAAAAAGGGACCAGAAAGTTTAAACACGTCGGCCGGATGAGTTGCCACAAGTATGCAGTGAAGCGTCGCCAAACCCACGCACACACCTGCACGCGCACGACACCCACTGCGCGCACACACCGAGGATTATCTGAGGCATGTGCGTGTCTGGAGGTCGTCTCTGTGGCCTGAGGAAGCAGCTGCTGCGCGGCCAGGCCGTCCGCACACAGAGAAGAATGCGATCTGACCTCTTTTCTTGGACAGAGCTCCCGAGCCTCGCCCTCCCTCCCCCCCCGACAGTCGGCCACAGGACAATGTTTTCTCGTAATCCTGCAGCGGTTTCACTAAAGCCAACGTCTGAGGCGGCCAGACAGGTGGACCCTCGGCGTGGGCTGCCCGAACCCACTCACCTGGGATTCCCCCAAGGACACACAGTGGAGCAGGCGTGTCCTTGGAAAAAAACATAAACAGAAGGAGCTTCCCAACAGAGGGCCTCTAAAAAAACTGCTGAACTAAAAGTCGAGCAACAACCGAGGAGCCACCTGAAGGACTTTGATTATCTGTTTATCTTTTTAGCAATTTCTCAAGCAAAGACGGAAAACAGTCTCAGATTACAGCTTCAAGAAAGGGAGGATTTGCTGCTTTAATGAAAAAGTGAAAACTTCTTTGGTTTTGGACTGTGAGTTGGACTGTTGGGTATTTTTCACTAACAAAAGAATTAAAAGATAAATCAAGAAAAAAAAAATCTCAAATTTGATGCTGCTGCAAGAAAATCCTTGTTTCATTTGTCAAACAATTTCAATTTCAAGCTGTGTTTCTCTGTAAATGCAGTTTTTTTTTAGGATATTCACGACAATATCTACACATAGAGCTGGGCAATAAACCTAATTTGGTTTATGAACAGTGACAGAATTTACCACAGAGTGTTAACTAAATCATTTTTACTTACACGTTTCCTAATAAACCCTCATAAAAACCACACATCAAGCGGTCACATGGTTCCTGTTAGTTCTGCTTTCACTCATAAGAATAAAGGATGCAACACATTAAAAACATAATGCCAAACATTCTCTAATTCAAGGCTTTGAAGTGCGACAAGTGCCTTTTGGCGCGTCAGACTAAAGAATTGTGAGTATTTTTACAATATAATGACAACAATGCAGCATGCGGCTCTTTAAAATACTTTGGGCTGCTGGTAAGAAAGCCACAAAGCAGACAGGACTGCAGGCAAACCCTCCAGCAGAGAATAACTATCTGTGCAGAAATCAGCTTGTAAGATGGAAAAACACATGCAGTGTAAAATGACTGAATTATGTCAGCCAGCAAACTGCACAGTCCATGATGCCAAAGCTAAAACAAAACTCAAGTTAATAATTCCTCTCCAAGTCTTTGCTCTCTTGTATACACACACACTCCCCTGTCAGTGTTTCCTAGTGATGCCACTGATCAAAGCGCCTCCTCCCCCCTTGTGGCTGTACATTTACCTGCCCACTGGCCGCCCCGGGGAAACCGAAAACCCTCCGACACAGCAACTTTAAAAGCCTCAGCGGTGAAATAACTGCATTATTCAACTCTGTGAGAGCACTTGAGCAAAGACAACAGCGGCCAAGAGCGCATTAATTCATGTCCATCCTTTACTTAAGGAACGGCTTTGATCGCCACTCGAAACGTCCACGGCGTTGGTACCAAAACATACAAGCTCCATTTATTATGCTGGGCACTCTCTCCCCCGGCTGCCGAAACAAATCATCAAAACACTCCTTTAATAGTAGCCTTGGATAAACTGGACACTTACTATGTGTAGAAGCTTCAGGACGTCCACAAACCTGTCAAAAGAGAAAAAGTGCATCGGTCAGACCAACAGATTTTAGCACATTTTGACAGTTCATCGTTAAGACACTCACACTTTCTCCGAGCTCATGATTTCCTGGGCGATGTGCACCACCTTCTTCCTCTTCATCTCATCCTCCTGCTGAAAGAGCACAAACAGTCAGACGACGCCACATAAACAAAAACACAACAACAACAACAGTCCGGTGTTCGCTCACAGGCTCGCTGCAGACCACCATGATCAACACCATGGGCTCAAACAACAGCTCAGCCAGGCCTGAAAAAGCACAGAGGCAACCTTTCCCTTCCCTTTGCCCGTCTCCTCTCCCCGACTCTTTCTGATGGTGTGTGTTGTTGAATGGTAATGGGGCGGTCTCTCAATGACTTAATTTGGACAGCGGCCTTGGCCCCCCGGCTGACTGAAATGCCCCCCCCGCCGTCCAATCGGAGCCTGTATTTGCGATACCCCCGGAGCTTTGAGAGGCATCAGACACAGGTGGTGACAGTATCATGGAGAGGGTCGCACAGGACGGGGAAAGAAAAAAAAAAAAAAAACTCATTGAGGGAGCTATTCCTGAACCTGTAGGCCTTCTGTGTTTGCTCACCATCCCCCCTCTTTTCAACACACACTTCTGGAAAGCAGTGACAGGCAGCGAACACACTTGGCAGCATGCGCTCTGTCTCCTGTGGCTGCAGCGACCGTTTGGTCACCAGCAGTGATACGAGGCGTCCGATGTGACTGCGAACACTCGGCCAAGTTTCATAAGCTGACGTCACGTTTGAAAAGCGCAGTGTCATTTTTCCGTTGCTCTGCTCGCTTTGGAGCTCGTAATAATTCTGGAGCATTTTGTCTGATGTGTGATTATAAGTGGTCCTATCAAGATGGTGGTGTCCAGTTTGTGGGGGGAGGGATGAGTGTTGAGATGATCATTGAATATTGTTGGGGTTTTTTTTGTTTGACCTCTTTCCCACCATGGCTCACTTGTTTCCACTTTTCAGGGTCAGAAACATCAGATTTATAAAGCACTTGATTTAGCTTTTTCATAATCATTAATACTATTAAAAATCATATGAGTAATAAGAAACACTACAGACATTTAGGGTTGTTCTTGTGCTTTGTTTTTTCAGCAGTTGGAACCAAATAAGTGTGTTTTGTTTCTGATCTTTGAGTAAAAGTGAGTGAAGTTTAGGAGATTTCGACACCACGTGTCAATGGTGATGCAAGAACAGAATGCATGCTGGTATGCTTATTAATATATTATTAATATAAAGAGAATCAGGGATTATTCACACTCACGCACAAATCATGAATCAAACACAGCCTAATTTTAAACATGGGCTGTGATGACGAAAATACAGAAAAATAAAATGCATGGTAAAAAAAACAACAACATACTGTCAACGACTCAGAGAATTCTTCCCAATTTTATAAGACATGTTTTCAATGAAAATTGGTGATTCTAAATTGTCCGTAGGGGTGAATGTGAGTGTGCTTGGTTGTCTGTCTCTAAGTGTAGCCCTGTGATAGACTGGTGACCTGTCCAGGGTGTCCCCTGCCTTCACCCTAAGTCAGCTGGGATAGACTCCAGCCCCCCATGACCCTAGTGAGGATTAAGTGGAGTATAGATAATGGAGGGATGGATGTTTTCAATGAAGCTCATGTCTTATTCATCCTTGGTACAGCTAAATCCACTGGGGGGTTTAAAATTTGTCAGACTGACATCATGTATCAGAGCCAGAAACTGTAAAAACAGAAAGGTCATGTGCAGTGCTGTTGGATCTAAGCCTAAATCATGATATTTCCTCAAAATCCATTTATTTTAAACATTTCTTTTTCTTTTTTTAAATAGACTATTCATACTATTCTCAAACATTTTTTCTACCAAAAACTCTGCATTCCTCAACACAATCATGAAACCATTTGTGACTCAGCTGCGACTAAAAGTCACTTGACAAAAATTCAGGGAGTTTTCTCATAAACTTGGCTGAACCCCCCCCCCCGAAAGAGCCAACACCAAAGGGAAATAACTGGCACCAAAATGAGAATAAAAAGATATATATTTTGTTAATAGGAGTTTCCATCAAGCATAATAGACATTTTTGTTTATCAGTCACAAACAACAGGAGATTTCTTTCAAATAAGGTAACACAACCTTCATGTGTCGTCATCTTCCAAAGGCCCATTCTGAGCCTGACTTGACCTGACATTTATTATAATAAGCAAACAGAGGAGCTCCTCAGACATCTATTTCATTATGCAAGATCATAAAAGAGGGACGAATGGATCAAAAGTAAACTCCACAGATGGAAACTGGAGGCATTATAGCAAAGATAAGCAATAAACTTTACAGGTTGTGGCACCAAGTTCAACAAGGATGGAGTAAGGACTGCCCATCAGGGACTGTAAACACTTCAGTTTCACTTCAAATCTAATTACTTTATGACTTTACAGGGAGTCAGTAGATTGCTCTGTAATGACTGAATTGCCCTCCCATTACACGCAGGGTTTAATTATGGTACCTGTCTGTCTGCCTCGTCCAGGTGCTCCTTACTGGAGGTGGAGCTGTTGTCCTCCTCGTCTGAGCTGTGGATCTCCTCCTCCTCGGAGTGGACGTCCTGGCCCAGCCAACCGCTGCTCGCCAAAAAAACACAGAAACCGCACATTCAGCACGACAGACAGAGACGGCGTGACAGTCAGAAAAAGATTAAATGGTACACGTAGCAGAATTTAGCTTCTCTTTACAGGGGATGTTTAAATCTGTGAAAGAGCAGCAGGGCAGGGCTGCAGAAGAGAAAAACCCTCCCTGGATAAATAAAGATTAAACAAGGCTTGTGCAATGTGGGGGACATGATAGATTGAACAAACAATAGTCCTTCCTAACAAAAGTATGTGAGTCAGTACAAGACTGAAACTCATTCAGACGCCTTGTACGATGGAAAATATCGATGATTACATTTTGACAACATGTTAGGGAGCCTGAAAAAAAAAATCCCTGGACGGACTGCTCAGGGAGAGATGCTGAAAGACACAAACCACAGTGTCCACAAAAAATAAAACAACCGCTACTATTAAAAAAGAGAAACAAAAGAAAAACTAAACAGTGGAGGCGAGACAGATGGAGAGGAGGCAGTCTGGTGGAAGACCTGCCACCAGAACAGAGCAACGGAAACAAGGATGAAACAAATGTTAGCTGAACGCTTCAGTTAAAATCCTCTTGGGAAAAAAAAGACGGAAATCTCCCTAAAAATATAGATCAAAGGGATACAAACCTCCTATTCATCCACAACTACTCCAATTACTTTAGTCATTTTAACAAGCAATAATACAACACTGAATTATCACCTTGGACTCTGGATGTTTTTTATTCAATATTGATTGAAATTTCAATGGCAATTTGATGCACGCACTACGTTTATGATAAGCTGACAGTGTCTGATCACGTCGGCTTCATGTCTGAATGAGGGTCCTGGTCACCTTTCAGTAAAAGTCTTAGTCCTAGTAATTTACCGTATCACTTTCACAAGTTAACTGCACGCATGACTTACTTTGAGTTGTATGAAGTGATACAAGGAAAGCATTGTCCACATTTCAGTATCAGTATAGGTCCAAAAACATCACAGAGAGCAAAAGCCAAAATCAGAAAAACAGCTTTCTCATTAGCTTTGTCCTACAATTTCCCATTTATTACAAATGTCCTTCATATGAAACACGACTATGATGAAGAGTCTGCAGGTCAGAGTCACCAACAATTATTGTAAACCAGGTTTTAACGAAACATTAACAGGAGCTGAAGTTTTGTTTGTTGCTTCCAGATGTTTGTAGGAGTCTTTCCTCTGAGATAATTAAATATCTGCAGCTTCAGACAGCAGCAGGATCCATGTGAGCGTCTCCAAAGAGAGAGATTAGTGGTAGTTAGATTATCATCACACCTGAATAAAACTTTCAATGTCCAGGAATTCATTATTGAACTAAGCTGTTAACAAATTGTACATTTAATAAGATGCTCTTGGTCTAAATGTAGTCTTTTGTTTAATTGTGTATTATTATGCATTATACATCACTGGATGTACTGTCTGTGTATGACAACTATTGAGCAAAATACCAGTATAAAAGTGACAAAATCTTGTTATTTTAACAGACTGATGAAGCCGGCAATGTCACGTATCCCTTGTCTGAGAAGAGCTACAGAATAGTGATCAAAACTATAAACAACAAAGCCACGAAAAAGTTCTGAATCTCTCATGAATATCGAGCTCATGTGCACTAAACATGATGCGTCCACTTACTGCTGTATGGACTAAAGATCCTCTGAATACTGATAATGTTTTGGGTAGCCCCACATGTACGCTTTTCTGCCCTGAGAGACATTTAAAACCTGTATTTCTACACCCCGTGTCTTTATCATCTGTGCTGCTGGCAGTGAAACAACATGCCGGCTCGGGGCTCCTTACAAACACTGTTGTCTGCCAGGTCAGTACAAGCAGCAACATGTGTTTGTGTGTCACTAATGTTTTGATCTGGCTCTTACAGTCTTTTCTGGAGAATTAAGCTGTCTGATTTCACAGGGCTGATGAGCTGAGATTTCAGAACTGGAGGGATTAATGTGTTGGTGTTTTGTCTCCCTCTTGTCCGGCTGTCTATTTTTACACAAATCTGCTGGATGCTGTACTTTCACCAGGAGGGTGATGGCTCGGAATAAATATTAGGTGGATAAGATGGTGGGACTCCAATAATTCACACTTTTCCTTTCACTCTTATCAGCAAAAGCCCACTCTCTCCACTTCCTTGTTTTTCTTACGCGTCTCTTTCACCTAAATCTCAACAAACACTCGCTCTTCCTCCCTCTTCCTCAGTCTCTTTCTTCCGTATGCTTTCTCTATAGCCGAGCACTCCGGCATACTGGGCCAGGCACAGAGCGCCACTTGTTTACAGCCCGGGGCTACTTACATAAACTTAACAGGCTCGGATGCCTGGGAAACACTACAGATTCACTCACTCCCTCTAACACACAAACAACCAGCCAACTGCTCTGCATACCAGACAGAATTAAGAAGCACAGCACATCTTAATTGTTTTAACGACTGCTTTCACACCGGTGTACCTCGGCGTCGACTAACATGGCCCTGACCTCATCACTGGTAGAGCCCCTGTAACGGAAGAAATAGGAAAACATGCCTCGGTATGATGGATGTGACTTGGTGATGGGATGGAATTTGCATTGATTCACTAACATTGAAGGGATGTGTCTATTACCTCGCTAAAAGGCATGTTGTCTTTACAAGGAGAAATCACCAGAATTACACCAGAAACTGTAAAAGCAGAAAGAATCAACATTGTTTTTAACTCTCAGATAGTCCCTGCACTGTTCATCTGAGACATGCCATTCTGTCAAAAACAAATCTAAACTTAAAATCCTGACATTTCATCCAAATCGCTTTTTCTACATGTCTCATTTAAAAATTCACCAAAAGTAAACAGCTTGCACGAGCTAAATTCCATAAAAAACCAAACATTATGTGCTCTTCGGTACAACTGGGAAGCCATAAGTGACTCAGCTGTGACCAGCAGTCACGTGACAAAACCTCTGGTACTTTTCAGCTGAACTGCAGGCTGTGTACACAGAGCAGATCGGAGAAAATGATGAAAACAATAAAAATATAAGCATTAAATTATTTGTAGTATGTCAAGTCATATATTTTTTTCAGTATTAGTAACACATGAGTACTTGTAAAAACGTTGTACATGTCGTTTACAGTTTTCATTTATAGTTTTTGTGAAATAAACAATTAAATTTCAAGAAATGCAACTTTCATTTGCTTCTTTTATTATCATTTATGACATTATAACTGTGTCATACTGCACAGAACACACCTCCGTCCTTCTAGTCATGGTTGTGCTGTTGCCATAGAGATGCAGGACTTTATATTGCAGTAGAAACAACCATCCCTCAGTGAATAAAAATGTGACAGGAACAACAGAAAAAAAACAATCACTGCATGGGGTAAAGAGAGTATGGATAATTCCCTGAAATTCTGACATGAATCTAAATAATTTATCAAGCTACATGCTAAAGATTTGCTGGTTCTAGTTTGCTAAAGCTGCACTAACCAATACTTTTATTGAAACAAGGCTTTTGTCCAGGCTTTTCTTCTGTTATTTATCTACCACACCATCTAAGAAATTTGCCTAACGGCTGTCTAGCAGCAGCACTCAAACAGAGACGCTGCCTCACAGTGTTTCATTATTTACTTACTAGCATTGCTTCAGCTAGGCCTTCATCTCTATACTCATAGTTAAAGTACGTAACCAAAGTTGTCTCTGTTTAATCGGACCAGTTAACCAATCAGCACTGACGGAGCTTTACAGTGGGCAGGCCTTAAAGACACAGGAGCTAAAATAGACAGTTTTAGAGATTGAGAAAAGGTGCTACAGCAATATACACTATGAGAAAAATAATGTGCTCTTTGGACATTAAGGCATATAAACATATTCTAATAGATCTCAAAAATATGATTTAAAAATAATTTTTCTTTAAATGACCATGTATAAAGTGAACAGGCTCAGTAGAGGAACAAAGCAGCCTATAATCGTTACGTTCCATTTATCTCTGAGGTGTTTTTTCTTTTAGCTCA